CAAATAGCATAGCAGCCCATTGTTAGTTCAGCTGAAAATAGTACTTGGTCATCAGGATGTAACTGGGTCGGGTACAGGTTGGAAAAAAGTGAACAAAACCTGTAGAGACAGAACAAATGAAGATGTGTCTGGTGAGAGTGGAACTCCCGACCTCAGCTAAGCTGAGACTCATACTAGAGTGCTGCCTTCACCAACTAGGCTACAGACGCTTGTGGCTGCCAGGGTAGTTGGGTCTTACTGGTCTGGGTTCAACTGCACAGCTCCTCCAAACTGTGGTGATGCATCATGTTAGCAGGCTTAACCTCAACAAAACCAAACCCAGCTAAAGCATGGGTTGGTTTGGGTCTATTTCTAATATGAGCTTCCCAAATCCAAACTCTGTTAAATCAAGTTGGGTCCAGGTTGCCATTAGTGGGGTTCATGATAGGATTTTGTCAGGAAGAAAATCACGCTACTCAGTATTTGGGAGCCCTCAAACCTTGGCTTAATTTTTAGACAAAATTAAGCTTAATATTTAACTGATTGAGGAAAGTTTTTGTGAAGTTTAAGCCTTAATCTGCACTCAGGAACCCTTAAAGCTTCCTGAGCTCAGGAAGCCTTAGAGGTTCCTGAGTTGGGATTCTGAGCTTAAATCAAGGCTTAAATTAAGCTCAGGATTTCACAATTCAGGAAAAATTCAAGCCGGGTTCAGGAAGCAAAAAGCTTATCGTGAACCCCGCTATTGGGACATGTTCAAACCAGCATTTTTTGGGTTGGTGGAGACAACATATCTTGGGAATTGATTAATTGACTCCCAAAGGTTGCAGAGTCGGCTCCCAAACCCCCAAATTTCCCCCAAATTCCCCAGTGTGCCTCTTGGCCATTGAGGTGAACTCTTTCACTCTAGACAACATCGTGATCCACACAACATCCCCACCAATACTCCTTTGGAAAAGCACTTTTTTCAAGACTTTATTATTAGTCGAGGTTCTGGGGCCAACCTGCCTCTCTTTAATGAAACTAGTGATTGATGAAGCCATTGTGGTCAACATGCTCTCGGTTACCCAAATTTCTTTGAGCTTGCTTGTACTCACGATGGTGGGTATGTGCATACCTTTCCATGTATCCTCATTTTTCACATCATCTCTACATATATGCTTCCCAGTATTATGTCATGTTTAGATTCTACACATCACTTTCACCCCTAAGTCAT